AGATTGTGATGGTTTTAACTTTTAAGATATTGTTTTTAGGGCGGTATTAGTCTATTATATTTTTATTTTTATTTTTTTATTTGGTGTTTGATATTGAAGCCTGATTAAATTTGAATCGTATGTTGCTAGGCTCATTTTTAGGGCAGTGCTTCCAACATAACTTTTTCCATTTTCATGATTCAAATTCCAGACTTTTGATTAAAAATACGGAGGAATTTCAATTATCCCATCAACTCACGTTAATATTGCCTATTATACATATGCATATTATTTTTGAGAAAGTACTATTTACACACATACATTTCTTTTTTTCCCAAGCAGCATCGCATGATCGATAGCCCCACTAAAAGGGTAAAAACTTATTCGCATCGATTAGATATTTATATCAAATTATATTAACTTATTAGATTTAAGCGATTTAACGAGCTAAGAATATATATAAACTAATTATGATCAAAAGAAAAAAAAAATTGTGCATAAATACACGTTATGCATTTGTTGATTTAGTATAAAATTCTGTACGACTATATTTTTACCTCTAAAAAATGTCTCCGTCATGACGGAGCTAGAGGATGGAAGGGGGTTCGGTTTCAAGAAAAAATTACATTACAAGGTTAATTTTTTTAAGGGATAAGGTACAAATACCCCTAGACTATAACTGAAATCTCAGAGACACACCTTAACGAAAGTAAGGTTCTATTATCCTCCTGAACCCATTTTTATGTAATTTTGTACACCTTTTTGACTTACGTGGCATCCAAATATCTCCCACGCGCATTAACTGCGTGGAGTCACAGAGTGTGCCACGTAAACCAAAAAGTGTACAAAATTACAAAAAAAAAAGAGTTCGAGAGGATAATAGAACCTTAGTTTGGGTAAGGTGTGTCTCTGAGATTTCGGTCATAGTCTAGATGAGTACTTGTACCTTATTGTTTTAATGTATACTGTTGATATGTTTTGAAATTCTAAATAAAAATTCTGACTTCGCTACTGATGTTCGATAGATGCTAGTGGTGCTTTCACAATGGGATATAGGCATCTGGTTTCAAGAATCCCAGCAAATGTCAAATTGCAGTGAGTGCCTAAGTGAAAGGGATCTGACTAGGAACTCCAGATGATATGATGACTCAAAATTATTTATGTTGTTTGCCCACAGCTATTATATGCTCAAACTGTTACATTAATTTGTGTGTTATTTTGGATGATGTCTCTCTATTGATGAATATATAAAGTACATAATTTGTTTTTTAGTTTCGTATGTGGTGTTCAATATTTATTTTAAGATTCTGAGTGTGTTGAACTTTCAATTATCAAAATTGTTTTTATTTCAAGGACTTGAACACGAGACCTCCTTAAAACATTTGGAGCCCATTTCGAATGCTTCTATGATCTTGAAAGTTTGTACGTTTTTTGGTTTTCACACTGCTAGTTAGAGGCGGATCAAGTATTTAAGTTTTATGAGTTAAATTCTTAAAGTTTTTAGCATTTATCTATTTGTATTTCTAAATTTATGGGTTCATCATACTTATTATTTATTACATGCTTTGCGTGAGTGTAAATGAACTCGTTGTCACTACTAGATCTATATCCACTGCTGCATCCAGTGTTTGATATTTATATTGAGATTCGATTAATTCAAATTTATACCACGTAAGACTCATTAAAAAAAAACACTTTTTTTTTTATATTCAAAACTCCAACCCAAAATCTCTCATTAAAATTATAAAAATAAATCATTTATCCTATCACAAGTCACAACTATAGTAAATTTTCCTCTTTTATCTCATCATAACAAGATAATATCAAAAATTGTACATCCTATGTAAAAGCACTTACCTAACGAACTAATATAAGACAATCCATTATTCTCCCCCTTATCTTTGTGATCATGGTTTACATAGTCAGCTTTTTTTAATATATAAATTAAAAAAAAAATAAGTTCAAAATTTAAAATTTATAAATTCAAATTTAAAATTCTAACATAGTTTATTTTGATTTATCAAGTTTAAAATCGATTATTTGTACTCGCTTAATAAACTCCTTAACGAGTTAATTTTATGTAAGATGGCATAACTTTGTTTACTATAATAGTAAATTTACAAACTTATTTTTTTTCATTAAAATGATTGGACTTTATTCACTATAATAGTAAAGTTGCAAAAATACTTCACCTGCAACAACGATAAAGTCACTAAATTATTTTTATCAAATTAAAGCAACTTAATTTTACTCAATTTCTTTATATATACGCACATAGAGTTAAACTTGAAATTCCCTCTAGAACGTACCAAAAGATCTCTTCAACAAATACTTCAAAATTGCTTAGTAATTATTCACTTTTCTCATGTTGAAAATGCAAGTATACTACAAAAAAATCAACATGATGATGACACAATCTTTTTATATCTCCAATAAGTATAATTTTTTTTTGATTCTTATAATCCTTTTAAAATTAATAGTATTTAAATTCTAATTTTAGTTTTTATACTATGACTCTCTATTTAATTTGCAATTATTTGAAATGACATTTTTAGTCTCATTTACTTATGAATATTCACAATTTTTCATAATTATTAGTTTTTTCAAAGTTCAATTATGTACGTATTACGTTAAACTTGTAATATTATTTCATATTTGAGAGTTACTCATCATGTTCTAATTTATGTCGGTGTTCACATTTTGATAATTAACCTTTTTTATTTTCACAGTGAACTCGGACATAAAATTCTTAAATTTGTTGAAATAAAATTTATACGTAAAAACTACAATAAAATTATAACAATTGACAACTCAAAATATTTATAAAATATAAGAAAAAATCGCAATAAAAAAACTCATTTTAACTCTTGAGGTTAAAAGGTTCCAAATTCCCCATATATTATAATGGAGGACTAATGTACTTTTAAAATGAGTCTAAATATAATATACTTTAATTAAAGGAATCAAATACACATATTTTAATTTTATTTTAGAGTGTTAAATATGTTAAGTTATACCTTAAGAGGATCAAAATCAAATAAAACATAATTATTTTATTGATGATGCATATGATAAAACCCATAAAGCATTATTCTGATTTGCTGTTTCTAATATTCTAAAGAATTTAATCCAATCTTAGTGTCCACTTAAATGAACATGTTTGCTTAGTGCAATGTAATTAATAAAAATATTTTTATGTTTTATTATATATATATTTTATGTTGAAACTTCCACCTGTTTTTTTTTTTCCCATTGTTTTTCAGTAACAAAAAAAAAGTTTTTGTTTTCTCATTTAGTGTCACATTTGCATGCACAAGTGAAAAGTGCCAATTGATCTTGTAAAAGCAAGAATCTTAACATTCTAAATTGTAATAGGTATTATTCGACGTATGAATTTATGTGATACACTTTTTTAAATCAATTTAAAAAAGTATTACTTTTTTTTTTTAGAAAATTATGTAATAATTTTGGCTATTCTATATGACATGACTGGCTATGACCAACTTGAAAATAAAAGTTCATGTTACTTAAAAAAAAAGAAAATTTCAATGAACGTTTCAATAGGAAATATAAGATTTCTAATGAAAAATGTTAAAGAAATAATTTTTAAGTTTAACTCAGCCTAAAAAATAAGGTCAAAATATTAGGATCGTCCAAACCATGTTTAACAGACCACCCACTCCATAAACCATAAGTGTGTGACTCTTCTAAAAAAATCCGTCAAAAATATTTCTGACAAGAAACTTTTTGATGGATCTTTCAAAATTCTATCAAAAATTCATCGTTTTTTAAAGTAGTACTATCATATTTTTATAAGGAGAGAGAAAACAAAAGAACATGCAAAAACATAATGTCGATACTTTACATATACTTAATCGACATGTTGAAAGATTCCTTTAATTTCTTAAATTTCATATTTCAATCGAACACCTTCACAATTAATTTAAATAAAACGCAACAAATACAAGAATTCACAAATATAAAAAGTTGTCTTAGAGAAATATATAGAAGTTTGTTAGAAAGCATATTCATAAAACTCCTTTTAATAGTGAAAAGTTTGTTTAGAGAAGTGTTTAAATGAACACTCCCATTATACGTAATAAAATAAGATAGTGGAATCCATAGGTAATTAAAGGATGTGTCTAGTATGAAAAAAAAAAACATTTCCAATTTTTTTTCATATTTTGGTCTAAATTTTTAGAGAATATTTTTTCTAGAAAAATTAATTCCTCAAAAATAAAAAAATAACCTTCTGATCAGCGGTGGTAGGTATTTCTCGGGGCGTATTACGATTTTTCACCAAGGGAAGCGATTGCAGCGAAGAATCTGAAACGAAGCACTCCGTCTATCGCGAATTTAAAATTTTCACCAAGGAGATTCGAAAAATAGTGCCTAAAATCTAAACTTGGAACATCACAGTAAATTTTAAACCCCCTAAACTACTGAACCACCTGCTTGTCTTATGTTTAGGACATTTAAATCTATATGTACGTACCAACATGAGTTGTGGTGCACTGGTGAGAGTGCTTCACCCTTAACCAGATGTTTCAGGTTCGAGCCCTGGGTATGGAGAAAATCCTGTTGGGAGCGCCACCCCCGAATGGGCCTTGCAGAGCGCGATCCGGATTTAGTCGGAGCTCCAATGTGAGCTCCAGACACCGGTTGAAAAACCAAAAAAAATAATCTATACATACATAAACAATTTTTAAAAATATGATCTTATACATACAATATAATTTTTTGTCGAGGGGTTCATGTGAACACCCTCGTGCCTTCCTAGATCCGCCCTTGATTATATATTGATAATAATTTTTCAATTACGTATCAAACACAAGAAAATAAATAAACCCCACGATAATTTTTTTGGAAAATATTTTCCTACCTACGAAGCACACCTAAATTGGATGACACATAGACGTGTGCTTAAAGCACTTTAATATTTCTTGTACCCTATAAATATACTACTCAAGTGAGAAGTTTGTTATAAATTACACAAAGCAATTAAAACAATATAAGCATTTCTTCATCAATCAATCATATAGTTTTATTAATTAGAAAAGTAATGTCATCAAATTCAAAAGAATGTTTAATGAAGAATTTAAAGAGATCAAAGCCATATTTGGCTGTAATTTTCTTGCAATTTGGATTTGGAGGGTCAGCCATAATAGCTAAAACTGCATTAAATAATGGGATGAGCCATTATACTTTTTCTGTCTATAGAAATCTCTTTGCTGCTGTTGTATTTGCTCCTTTTGCTGCTCTTCTTGAAAGGTAATAATCTTTAATTTAGTTACCCCCTCCCCCCCACCCCCAGACTTAAACACGAAGCAGTGACGGATTCAGAATTTAGATACTATGTTGTTTTGGGTAGGGGAGGAGGTGTGGAGCTACGCTAATTAGTTATGTACCCTAGCCATATTGAACACTCTTCGTTGAAAAATTGGAAAATTATGAATATATGTATACTTAGAAGTCATGTGATCGGTTCAATAACATTATTCGTTGGAAAATGATAATTTGTGTATATAGGTTAAATATTACCTTCTTTTTTTTCATATATATTAAATTTTGAAAACCCCTTATTAATTTTGCCAATGGTCTTGAGTTGAAAGATCGCGTTTTAAAATGTATATTAAAATATATTTGATTTTTGTTTTACATATACATACACGTACTAATTACAAAAATGAATCAGTGACAAATTTAAAATTTAGATATGCATGTGTGTTTTGAGCAAGGGGCTACATATCCGTAAAGGGCACAAATATATAAGTCAAATATTACTTTTTATATGTACATATTAAATCTCGAATAGTTCTAATGTTTTTTCTGACTTCACCACTTATATATATTAAGTTTAAAGTTTATTTAGATGGAGTATTTGGTTAGAAATTAATCAATTTCATCTCTTGTTGTTTTTAACATATATACAGGAAAATAAGGCCCAAAATGACTCTATCCATCTTCTGGAAGATTATGTTGCTGGGCTTATTGGAGTAAATATCCCTGATATACACTATCAATATACATAACTGTTATTTCTTGATTTAATTTAATATTTTGATCTAATATTTTTTTAAATTAAATAATTTTTTTGCAGGCCTGTTATAGACCAAAATTTATATTATGCAGGAATGAAATATACCACTGCTACTTTTGCAACTGCAATGTGTAATGTTCTTCCAGCCATCACCTTTTTATTAGCCTGGATACTAAGGTAATTAATTAATAGGCTATTTTTGCAAATTAATTAGTTTGTCACGTGATAGATACTAAAAAAAATAATTAAAAAGAAAGTATTTTGTCCCTATCAAATAAAATAAAAATAAAAATAAAATATATATGTAGGTTTGTGGATCAGGTCATTTCCAATGTTATGGGATAATTTTATTACTATTATTTATTTATTTAAAAAAAAATGATAGTGCAAAAGTATTTTTTTCAGTTATCAAGTCGTCCGTGGCGTAGCTAAAAATTTATATAAGAGAATTCAAAAATATCATGTTTAGCTAAGATCTAGCTAAGTTAATATGTTTTTCTCTTAAACTTTATGCTCAGTCAATATGATATATAAACTAGAACAATGAAAATACACAAACTCATGTGTACTACCGGTCTTAATGTTAAATGTTACTATATAATATTATACTGTCAGTGAATATGAGTTAATTCTCGAGAAATAATGGATAAATTTTATTGTAGGCTTGAAAATGTGAATGTATGGAAAGTAGGTAGCCAAGCAAAAATAATTGGGACAATAATAACACTTGGAGGTGCAACAATTATGACCCTTGTTGGAGGCCCAACAATTGGATTGCCATGGACCAAACATCATAACAATGTTCCTACTACTACTAATGTTGTTTCTCCCAATGAACTCAATCCTCTTAAAGGTGCCATCTTCATTGCTGCTGGTTGTTTCTGTTGGGCCTGCTTCTACAATCTTCAGGTAATACTTTCGTAAAGTTACTGTCATGTGATTAAGATGTTACATGTCCGACTTGTGAAAACAGGTTCTTGGAGAAAATGCATAAAGGCTATGTACAATATAATAGACCTTTGTGGTTTGATTCTGATCACCTAGTCTCGTGCATCGTGGATAGTTTGATTTTTATATTTCTATTTATAACTTTGTAGTTATGGAGGGTATATTCGTAAGAAAACAACTTATTCTTAGAAATTATGCAGTGTATGTTGTTTTTTAATACAACAAACCAAACATTCACTAAGAAATAATACCAGAATAACTAATCCTAACATAACTAATCTCATCTTCAAACCAAACAAACCCTAATAGGGATAACGCTTACTCGTAAAGTTATTGATATGTGACCGAGAGGTTATGAGTTCGAACTCTGAAGACAGTCTCTCGCAGAAATACAAGATATAATACAAATCCTTATGTTCCGACCCTTCCCTAGATCCCGTGCATAGCAGATAATTCGATTTTTGTTTTATACTTCTTTTCAGTATAATAATATTTTTTTATTTTAATAGGCAATCACATTGAAGAAATATCAAGCAGGAATGTCACTTACTTCTTTAATATGTATGTCTGGGGCTCTACAAGGCACTGCACTAACACTTTTGGTTCAAAGGGGCAATTTTGGAATTTGGTCTATTCACTGGGGCTCCAGTTTATTCTATGCATCACTTTATTGTGTAAGTCTAATTTTTTTTTGATTAATTCTCTTTTTTAAGTTATATTTACTAAGTTTTAAGTGTTATATATATATATATATATATATTGTTAGTGTAAGAAATGTTAATACAAATTTTACTTTTTAAGAAGATTTATATGTAGTTCTCTTTTGGATGACTGGATAATGTATTTTTTAAAATTTATATCAACGATATATATAACTTAAACTCGTACTGTATTATTGATGCAGGGAATTGTTAATTCAGGGATTGGTTATTATGTTTCTGGATTAATAATGAATGAGAAAGGACCAGTTTTTGTGACAGCTTTTAATCCTCTAAATATGGTTATTGTTGCAATTTTGGGTTCATTTATTTTATCTGAGCAGCTCAACATGGGAAGGTAATTTAAATACTTATTTCCCTTTTTATTTTTTATTTTTATAAATTTAAATTATATATACCAATATTAAAAAATGTTTCTTTTTTACATTATTTCAATTATTAGTACAAAGTGAATTTATTCTAATTTTTTTTTTGCTAATTTTGATTAATGTAGGGTTGTGGGAGCTGCTGTAATTGTTGTTGGATTATACCTAGTAATATGGGGTAGTAGCAAGGACAAAATTTCAACAAAAATAGTGAGCACCAATATTGAAAATGTTGAATCAAATAATGATAAAGAATTAGCAGAGATTAAATCTTCAAACCAGTTAGTGATTGGAGATGAATCTGTTTAATTAAGAGAAGATTAAAAAAAGTTATGGACTTATGGTTATGTCTTAATTGGTACAAGCTTGAGGGTTTAATGTTTATTCACATTAATATGTAACTTAAGGATGTGGCATATTTTAAGTGTTAATTTAGCTATGTAATTGATGCTTAAAAATATGCGCAGCAACTTTTTGCAAGATTTGAAGTATCTATTAATTAAGAGCATTTTACCATTTCTTTAGGTACTTAATCGAGTATATTATAATTTGAATGTCTAAATATAATTTGTTGCAAAATCATATTCTATTGATAGTGTCCTTGTCCCTTAATCATCAAGCTATCCTCGGATTCTTAACTGAGATTGCAAAGCCATAATAATGATATCTAAATCAACTTACGTACACTTCAATCTATTTTGCGAGATACCTTCTACCTACTATTCTATTTCCCTTTGTCATTTAGATCCTATCAACAAAGTTAAAAATCATGAAATTGAATTGAGTAAGCAAATCAAATTTTACTCGATTTGGTACATTTAAACTATTAAATAAATATCTTCCTCCACTCATTTACTATTTCACCAAATACTTTCACTTTCCACCAACACAGATATCGACTAACTTTTCTCGCCAATAATTCATTAGATTTCCATGATTAGATCTAATGATGTTTTAAGGCTTAAGCCATAATACATCCATAATGTATAGCTTATAGAGCTATAACCACACAATCAACAACTATATATCTGTCCCAATCACTTGTAGCCAAATATCACAATAATCAGGACCTTCAGAAAGAATAATGTTCAAAAACCAAAATACAAAGTTATATTTTTTAAAAGAGAAAAAGAGCTTCAATTAGCATGTTTAGCGGTCACAGGCATGAAAATATAATAAAAACACAACACCATCTGCTAGAGTTATCTATATAAAATTAAAAACGAATTTGTAATTGCAAAATAAGAGCACAGAGTTTTAAGACATCTAATTAAAATTTGACTTTAGTTCACTGACTATTCATTGAGCTACCCCTTCCTTGACCAGGAGCCCAAGATTGATCAGCAGATCAAAATGGTTTTGCTGCTTCATTTTTTGCAAGATGATATTCTCTAGCACTTTGTAAGTACTCTGGATACAAGACCAATAAATGAGTTTGTTAGAATAAAGATAAATAACAAAAGATTATGACTATAAGGGTGCATTCATGGAAAAACAAAGTATTCACCATTGAAGGTTTGAAAATTTTCCGGATTGATTGGAGAACCAACGATTTTTTGAATTACTTCAAAGAGCATTTCCGAAGGGGTCTTTTTCAACTTTCGAACAACAGCATGAATTGTCCTCCCGCTATCAAAGTAAATATGACTGTTAGCATGATGGCTCTTGCAATTAGCATGCCTCTCAAATTCCGTAGCACTTAGACAATTCTTCATCTACATAAGACATATAATGCCCCATTAGACATGAAGAAAATTCGCGAAAACAAATAGTAGAAGAGTGAAAGAAAATCTTGCCTCGGATAACTTGCAGTTATCGCAACTACATAGGTAACCATTCCCTTTAATAACTCCCATAAGAGATTTCTGCACCATAAAAAACATACTTAGAACCAAAAATATCGAAACCTCAAAGAAGAATTCAAGAATCAAAACTTGCCTCCGATGACATTGAGATATACTTCACGGGCACTCCATCAAGTAAACCACTTGACAATAAACTTTTTACATTGGTAGGGAAAGTGTTCTGCACTTTCTTCTTGGAGTCAACACGAATATCCTTATCATGATTCACAGGGTTTTTTCCCTTTCCAGAGTTGTCCCCCATAGAAATGAATTTTCCTTTTCCATGTTCGAGAGATGTAGCATTTATGCTATTGGTGTTGGATATGTTCGTGCATGCATCTGTTGAAATTGGTTTATCACTGACACACTGCACGACTTGTTTCTTATTAGAGAATAACTCTCTTTCTGAAGCATCCATAGCACACTTCTTTTCAATCTCAACATAAGTCCCTCTACCCTTCTCTCCATCAGCTAGAGCATCAACATCTTTTAGCATCTCAGGGCCCTTGTTCTCGAAAGACTGGAAAGATCATAAAACTATTGTTGAAGAGTGGAAAAGAGATTATTAAGGCTATTCGAGTTTCACCAAAATCTTTTCTGGGAGAAGGCATATAAAGACATAAATGATTCAGAGTCCATAGTTAAAATAAACCTAAAATATCTTTTTTTTTGAGTTTCATATATCAACTATCAGGCTGTGTGTGAGTTTTCTACCTAAACTATCACCAACTATTTATCAAAACACACGTCAAATATTAATTATTTATTTTTCGTACCTGAACAATCACCATCATTCATGCAGTAAAAAGGAATAATTAATAGTTGATGTGTGTTTCAATAATAGTTGGTGATAATTTAGGCAGGAAAATCGCACATATGATAATTCAGGTTTGAAACACAAAAAAATGTATACTTTAGACGTGTTTTTGACCCTTCACTCAAAATTTCATGTTATTTTGGAAAATATTTTCTACTTCAATTGTATATGGAGATACATATGCTTGCTATGGAGATAAAATTCTTCACCAAACATAGTCGAGAGAGAATGTCTACTATATACTTCCTCCACATACAATAACAATAGAACAATCAAGATGTGTATAAGCAAAACTTTCTGAGAATCTTACTTTTTCTCTCACAGATGACTCTGATTCTTAAAGACGTTAATATCAGTGTAAAAGTTTATAAATATTGGAAGAACTATAAAAGCAAAAATCAAATTTCTCCATCAATAACTACTTTAACATATGTCATCCCCAACCTCCTCAATTCTCATGAGATTAAGATTCTTCGTATATGTATAAGCGACAGAGTTAAACTAAAATAATCATTAAATAAATAAATAAATAAATGAAAAAAGATTATTCCATTAGGATATTTCATTTATTTTTTTGTAATGAATCTTCCAATGTGGAAATTTTTTATCTTTCTTTATTAATTTTCCCTTATCATTTTCATTAATTACGGTTTTGACCAACTCTTCCAAGTTAAGTTCGTCATCAATAATTTTTTTCACTTTAGTGTTTGAAGAAAGAAAATCATCACGTGAAATTCGACATGCGAGGAGATGTCATTGTATTAAAATGATATCTTTCTATGCACCAACGACATGTCCTTGCATACCAAATTTCATGTGATGATTTACTTTCGTTAGTGATTAGAAAGAAAGGGAGAGGAAAGTTAATCTTATATATACCACAAAGAAAAAGATCAAAGTGCACATTCAAGATTGAAAAAATAACATAGATCAAAGCAAGAGTATTCTTACAACATTTTAAAATGTTGTTGTTGAAACAAAATTTACATAATTGTTGAAATAATTCGGGAATCTAACGATTTCATTCACTTCACCAACATAAGGCGAGGTAGCTTGGCGTCAGTAAAGACAAAACAAGACCCGAGGGTTTCTTTTACTAATTTAGAGCATATCAATCTCAAAGTCGAAAACTTTACCATTTCCAACTATTTCAGATGTAGTCCTCCAACAGTGAATAATAGCTATTGAGCTCTACCAATGCTAAAATCTCCCACTTCAAAATCAAAGCAAAAAATGTACATAAAATAATTAGAATATACTATGAGAATCTTAAAAAAAGAAGTTAAAAAGGGAAAATCTCTTTCCCCACCTGAAAAGTCAATTATGGAAAATAACGCCAAACAGAACACCAAATATATTGTAGGTTAAAAATAAATAAATAAATAAATAAATCCCATTCAGGTAGATTTACTAATTTCTAAACCATTGCTAACATTAAAAACAAAGAAAAATAAATCAAAATCATCACTAAAATCATTTGTTTAAAATGATAAACAAAAAAATGTTTTCCCTTTTCTCATTTTTAAACATTTAAGAAAGTTCATATGATTTAACAATAAAAATCAGGTTACACCTTCGTAAAATGGAAGATGATCACAATTCATAAGTGAATTCTACACGATGAATACCAACGAAATCGATGAACAAATCGAAATGATTGAGTTTTTTTTCCAAGCAGTTCACCTCAATTGCAGCTGGCCAGTGAATTCTCCGAGATGAATTCAACGAAATTTGTTAGAGAGTGTTTCAAGTTTAATGTTTTTTTGGCTAGAGAGAAAGAGAAAGCCCAGAGGTGTATATATATACTAGTGTGACGAGTGATTCTATACATCATGATTTACGAAATATAGTATGTTGAGCTGGATTGACTATGTTATGTCATGTGAGTCTTATTAATCTCAGGATAAGTTATCTCAGACTTGCCAATCAAACAACAAAATAAGTGGCACTATAATTTAATCCCATAACTATTTGATGTTATCCTTCACATCAAACGACCCTTAATAGTTTATTGGGATCCGCTAAAATGAAAAAAAAGGTAAAAATGTTTATTTTTTAAAACTTTCTAGTCAAAGATTAGTTAATAAGAAATTATCCATGTTTATACTTGTTTTATCCTAAATTACTTGACCAATGGGAATTTCAATTTTTTCTCCATTAATAGTTTTAAGATTTAGTAAATAATTTCCTTTTCATATATGTCAAAATTATCCAAAATTGTTTGATCACATTGATTTGAGAATTTAAATTTTATTTATTAACAGTATGAAAAGCATTTACATGGTCAAATATTTTGAGATTTCTATTTTTATTTTTATTTTTAATAAAATGCCGCAAGACACTATCTAATGGTATAAATTTGCGAAATAAAAAGTTTGAGATTTCAACAATAGAGACACCTAAACTTGATTTTGAAATGATATTATTAATATATTATTAATTATTAGAGAATCTCATAAATAAATAAATGGAATTTAAACATAAAAGGCTTAAGGTTCTAATAATGTAACAATATTTTGATTAAAAAAAATATGTGTGTCCGATACTCACACCAAATCAGCAAGTACATGACACATATCAAAACTTACACTTTGATTATTAAATATTATAGTCAAAGATTAGTAAGAATAAAGTTATTCATATATATACTTATTTTGTCCTAAATTATTTGATTACACTTATTTTTCAAATTTACATTCAAATTCAATTTTTCTTCATTAAGTTTTTAAAGATTTAGTATTTTTTTTCCATATATGCTCATTTTATCTTAAATTGCTTGTCACGCTTGGTTTCATATTTTT